TCTTATTAATGCAGAGGAGATTGATATATCCCTGCATGACCTAGCACATACATATAAGTGATGGTCTTACTGTAAGTTGCTTTGCTTTCAGCCATCCATCTGGGGAACAATCACTCAGAATTTTAAATACCACTGCCTGTGTATCACTGACAAATATCATGATGATGACACTGTCTGTTTGCACTTAACTGATTTCAGCAACCCACAGTAGAACTTCTTTTATGTATTGCTGGTTTGGGAAATTTGAATAATCTACCAGCTTTATGCAATATGTTGTTGCTCCAAGAGACGACGAATACCAAAGCAGCTCTTGCTATCTCTGGTGTCTGTGATGACAGGAGACAGTCCATCATGGTTTTTAGATGCTGATAGGCTTTTTTTTTCACAATCTGTTCAATCTACATTTTATGTGATAAACTGATTTCCACAGATTCCTGTGGCACAAGATGTTTATTTCACATGAGGAAGTCGAGATCTGGTGATGACAAATTATCTCATTGGTGGCTGTATTGCACTTCTTTACCTATGACTGTCACTTAAGGTGTCTTTTAGACAACCTCTTGCTTTAAGTGCATTGATATTTTTAGTAGCTCTGGTTATTGTGGTATTAAGATGGCTAATGATGATTTGTCTACTCTTGAGTATGCTGCAGAACATCTCTTTCACTTTGGCAAGATTGATGATCATTTGCTAAAGCCCTACTTTTACTTCAAAATGTCATCAGCAAAGGTTAGCACATGGCATCTGGTTAGTTTTTCAAGGTGAGATAAATCAATGTTGTAGATGTTGAAGAGAACTACTTAGATTGGTGACCTATGAGACAGACCAGTACTGATTGTGATCCAGTCTGACTGCCAACTTCCATGCTTCATTATACATCTTCTGGTAGTTAGTGTAGCTGTGAATCATCTTACATATGTTATACTGATGCCTCTTCTGAGCATTTGTTAGCAAGAATGGGCAGCTGTATACTACTATAGATATTATCTAGATCTGAAACTACTGCTAATGTGTTGTGACCAGCTTAAAAACCTTCCCACATACTAGCCTTGATTTCAGCATTATTGATCCAAGTTTCCTTGTCACTTCAATAACCAACAAGTGATGACAGTAGTGAGAACTCAAATTGATAAGCAAACTTTCTAACTACTTTCTTCTCTGGAATCTTGCCAATGATGTTTTGTAGTATGTTGATTTGATGGCCTTTAAGGTAAGAATGATACTTCTGGATTTTGGTAAAAAATTGATTAATGCATCTGTCCATATTTCAGAGGTGCTACCTATTATGCTGCTTCATTGACACTCCAACATTACTTTCAAGAGGATGTCTTCTGTAAGCTTTGTAAAGGTGGAGATTCTCAAACTATCTGGTCTTGAAGCTCCATTTTTGATGTATTTATGGCTCTGTGTATATCATCTAAGCTGAATATGGCTTATTATTTTGCAAGTTTTATAAAGATATCATAAAAATAAACATTACAAACAGCCCTTGTTTACAATAAATTTTACACAAAGAAAACAAATTTAATCTTTCAGAATCATTTCCATATAGGTTAAGAAAATATTCACTATTATAATACAGGAAATTCAAAGTGTGTACTATATGTGGCACAAAACTGTCAAAGTGAGTATGATGATGTGTGTGAGGCTCAATTGAGGTTGTTATATTTACTGGAGTAAATTCATTATCACTTGAGTGTTGGATTCTTGCTGTAATGGACAAGGTGAAGTACATTACAATTATTATTGTTTATTACATGCATCAAAATTATTAAATTGTTGACACAAATACACTTCATAAGCTTTTAGTTCACTTAAATTATGTACAGTGTGCATTTTAACACACACATGTACATGAAACATGTATAAACTTAAGCATTTGTGGATGTAAATTTTTTAATTTTGTAATACACTCCAAGCACATAAATTATGCAGTGGACCACCATTTCACAAACATTGTTTGTCTTTTTTCAATATTGCATCATGGTTAATATGGCCACCCAAACTTTTTGCCAGCTGTAACCAGCCCAGCATACCAGGATAATAGCTGGCCATCCAGTACAGACAATATGTATTTTTGTATCGTCATTTTTGAAATGATTTGCATCTAACATGAGACACGTTAATTTGGTGAAAGTGAAGGGACACACTTGATGCAATTTGAGTAACTTAAAACTAAAACATTTAAACTTTGCATTTTTTTATTTTTTTACAAGTTTTTGAAATAATTTTAACTTTTAGTACAAAATGTTACTTATGCACATGGATTTTTCATAACTAGACGATGTCACGAATTTCTGTCAGCAATTTTTTTAAGTAATAATATTTTGTAACATATTCATTGGTGAGAAAGATGGATGTTTAAGATTAGTTAAGAGTCTTACAGAATAAAGGATTGGAAGTGAGAGGGTCTGTTAAAGCTCTTAAGTAAATACATGAAATACAGTCATGGTGAAAGAATATAAGATAATTTTTAAGTGTTCAGGTGTTATTATAAATAACAATAACTGTTTTGAAACACCTGTTTCTTTGATTATATAGTTGAAGATAAAGACTTCAAAGCTGGAGTTTCAACTTTAGCAAGACTGTTAAATATAACAGAACATCCAGATCACTTAGTTACCTTAAAGGTAGGGCTTCATATATATATATATAACAGTTTCACTATAAAGATTGTTAAATCTAATAAAATGTACAACCATACAACCACCTGAAAAGTAGAGCTATTTTAATTATGTAATAGTTTTTTAAAGACTCATAAACAATATATACAGATGGTTATTTGTTTTATAAGAATAGTGTTCCAGATCCCATACTGCACTTGGAACTACATTTTCCATGATTAATCTTGTTGAAATTTATGATTACAATTATCTAACACAGCAATATCCATTGTAAAAAGCTTCTTGGTTTGTTGGTCTAAGAAACTTTTCACTGTCTGATGAACGTGGACGTTGGCTTCTAAGGCCACGTTTATGCTAACCAAATGCAAGAACTTCATGAGTGCACAGTCATGTTACATCAAAGATAGCTTGAACATCATTTTCATTTTCCATGGTTTATAGAAATGTTTCTGTGGACTTAGATTTTTTACTTTATGCTTTATTCTGATGTAACCATTTTTATCCTGATGTAGTCATACCTTTTTGACATCCTTGCCATATTGATCAATAACTTGATGCTTTATCATGACGTAGTCATACCTTCTTGACATCCTGGCCATATTGATATGTAACTTGATGATTTATCATGATATAGTCATACCTTCTTGACATCCTGGCCATATTGATATGTAACTTGATGCTTATCCTGATGTTCTGGTCATATAGTGCAAGAATTTTATTTTACCAAACAAACAAAAAATTCTTAAGTTCTCTGTATCAACTTGTCATTGGCAGCAGATCAACTGTTTTTGTGTCACAGTATTCAAGTACATAATATCATAATTAAACCTTGTCCAATGTTACATCATTTACAAAATATTTTTAGTATAATCTTTTACAATGTGATGTTCTCTTACAAGTGTATGGGGAGGAGATCATGAGGTGGAGATAAAGCTGCTCTACAAGAGCAAAATCTTGTTCACAGTCTATTATGGTATATGTAACTTGTTAATAGCTTCTTTCTGGGTTGGAACCATTTTTATGAACTTTGGCTGTGGTAGAAGTAGTCCTGTGTGTAGTTGGATATTGTTTAAGTGTTTTTGTTTTTTTCAACCTCATTGATATGTCTCTCGCCTGCATATCATTGCTGTTTTGTAATACAAATATTCTTCTTTGTTAAGTACTATATCATAATCCTCCATCTATAAATCCATCAGTGGTGGTGCAACATTTTCGAATAGTTGGGAATTCATTGTGAACCAAATATATATGTCACTTGTGATACCTTTTCATGCATGTGTATCAGCATGTACAAATCATTCTTATAGAGTGCAATTAATCTGACAACTTTTAACACTTTCATTTTTATTTGGGTAATTTCCATTGAGCATGGGTCTTCACAAACCTTTAGGAAAAAAGTAAATAATGTTTTTAAGAAAAGTTTTAATAAACATAATCCTTGAAAGTCACATTAAAAGGTACTGTAAATAACTGATAAAATCTTAAATTTAAACAAAATTTTTTGACTAAACCATAAAGTCATATTTGATCAGTATGGTGAGAGTGCTCAGGAGAATTGATTTATTAAAATTTTATTATTATTATTAGAATCAGAGTTATTAAAACCTTCCTCCTATTCAATCAGTTTGAAGTCCTAATTGAAAGTGAGAGAGAAGAATTATGAATATAATCTATCCTTTATTACTTGCAGGAGGCTAAAAGTATGTGAATTCAAACATTCAACCAAAAAATCAACATGCTAATTAATATACAATTGTGTAAGAAATTCCCAGAAATGAAATACTAGTATGGGTGGTCTGTTTAAAGCTGATCATCAGATATCAAGTAGTTTTAGGGCAGTTATCTAAACATTTCCAAAACCTTGTGTTATAGATTAACTCCTGTCAGATTCATTTTACTTTTGTTAAAATTAAAGTAATAATGTTATGAATCAGGTTAAAAGAAAACAATTGTATTTGTTTGACATATGGTAATAATAAAAACTTTTAGTGGGACTAGCAAGTGAAACAAAATGGCATTCAAAACTCTTGAATATGACATTAAAAATAACAAGATGTCTCTGTTTTTAGGCAATATGTACCCTTGTGAAGAATCGGTTGTCAGTTGAAGCTGTTTCAAAGAAAGAAAAACCACAGGTATTTATACGTTTGAATTTCAAAAAAGTTTTGAAGAATTTCTTGTCGTGCAAAAAAGTGTAATTTGTTTATTTGTTACAGTTTCCTGAAAGAAATGATGTTGCTATAACTGGAAATATTTTGTGATGTATTTTACTAGTAGGAATGTCTAACGTCTATGTCCTGTCATATGTTTTACTATCCAGATTGTTTGTGTTTTTCTTAATTACAAAAATTTAAGTAATCTGTTTTAGTTAATTAAATTTATCTGTAAAAATTATTTGTTTTTATATTATTTTCCTAGGGCAAACCCTTTCCTTTACATGAAAGTTCTCTGGCATTTGACACAGGGGGTGAGTTAGAATATTATATTTTAATATTTTCCATCAATATTACTTATACAAAGCATTATTGAAGTATTTGTTATTTGTTTTCAAACTCCTACTATGTAGTAAATTTGAAGGCTACTGGATAAGCTACTTGAATTCTTTAAAATTTACTAATTAATTTATTTGAATGTTTTCAGTGATACACTTGTTAAGAGTGTACGTGATGTGTTCCACTGGATGTAGAATACTAAACATTAGCTAGGCAACACTGAAAGTTTGCATGTGTTTTTGATGATAGGGTAAAATTCTTCTCATTGGGTGGTAGAAATAAGACATGATCAAGTATTTGCAAACTGATTCAGAATGTACCATGCAAAACAAAGTTTAGTATATCTTGTATCATTTACAATAATAAAGATGTTGTGTTATTTTCTTCCACTGATCCTGGTAGATGTGGATAAACTGAAATTTTTATTGAGAGTCTAGTTGTGCTGTTATGGTTAGCATGTTGGGCTGCAGATCTAAAGGTTCAAGATGAGATACCACTGAACACTATGATACACTATAGTACAGATTGCCTACCAATGTAGTATCTTATCTCTGCTTACCACTAGCCTTGATACTCCCACTTATTTCTGCATACTAACATGCAGATGATTATGCAGCAACCCTCCATCAATAGGAGTGCAACACTACCCCTATTGTAACTAGCACCCTCTCTAATCTTGCAGCTGTTAACCACTTCTCAGTATTGGCAGTCTTATTGAATAGACACATTTTTGCTCACAGTTAGATTCACTTATCTACAGATTTTTAGTTTCTTAATTTTTCTACTTTAATTACGTTGTTCTTTACCATTTTTGTTTTCATTTGTGAAGAGTTACAAATTATTTTATTTATTTTTTCTCCTCTTTCAATTTTGTGAGTTATGCACTTACAGTTTCAGGTGGTCATGACTACAACTGTTGCAGCGGAATTACCAACTACGTCCAATGGGTCGAAACCATGATTTTGGACCTATGAAGTGACAGCTCTAGGGCATCAAGAGTTGCCCAATTTCATGCAACAAATAGAACATACTGATGATTGTTTCAAATTCCCTTATTTGGACTCATAGCATTAGTATCCCTTCTTCGTTAGTGGGGATCAGACCCCAATAATTTGATTACCTTTTCCCATATTTGTCTTACTCTGAAAACCCTTCTCAGGTCAGAGCTGATGGGGGCCAGACTCCTTCACTTTGCCAATGTTTGTAGGTCCTTGGTGATTGATCCATGGGTTTTGAAAATCGTTTCAGTAAGTCTGGTCCTCTGTTTCTATTCATCACCCCCATTGTCTCACAATCCTGTTTCCTTCCCCACTCTTCGGGATCTCGTTTTTTGCCCTCCTGATTCATTACACGAGCATTTGTTTCCACCATTCTATGAACATATGGCTGCTTCTTGCCTCCTCACAAGATGACTCAGTCCTACATCCTGAGTTTCTTCTCCAGGATACTGTCTTGGTTGGTTGGCTTGTCACAGTGGAGCAATTTTTCCTCACACCCATACAATTTTGGGTTGATCTCGAGGTGTTTTTCAACTCCTTCCTCCATCAAGCCTTACCTGCTCCTTAGTTGTGAGCTGTAGAATGTCTCGTATGCAGTATTTTATCTCTTTCCTCTTCTATTGCATGAGAGGTTCTTTCTCTCTTTTGGGGACTTGGACTTCACTTAACCCTCATTCCTCTTGGTCGCGCCCTCATGTGTCATTGTCAGTATAGCTTTGTTTGGGATCCCTTAGATACCCCTCTTGCCCTTCCCTGTCCATTACAGACCAATTTTGACTGGTGGTTGGATTGGTACACTACAACCGATAGTTTTCCTCTATCTCCTCCTCCAGAATATAATCTTTTATGGATGCTTCTTTTTCCAGTAGAGGGTGTATCTTGACACTCAGGAGGTTTCGGGGCTATGGTATCTTTCCACATCCTCTCCATATCAATCTTGGAACTTCTTGCTGTTCGTTGGGCTTTTCTTCACTTCCTGTGGACTCCTAGGGGCTGGTTGGTGATGGATCACTCTGACATTTCTGTGGTAGTCTCGTACATCACCAGGTAAGGAGCACTCGGTCAACAGACCTCTGTTTTCTCAAATTGGATCTTCTGTGTCGGGCCCACTACCATCCCATCACTTTGTTGGTACCTATATGCATATCCTCTTTTCATCTCCTCCCATATGTCCTTGTCATAAGTCAAACCACTCTGTGTAGTGTTCTGCTGCTGGTTACATATTGGCCCACTCACATGTGATTTCCACTGCTGCACCAATTTTTGGTGTCACCTCCCTTTCTCTTCCTTTATCTCTAACACTCCTTCGTCAGTCACACTTCGACGTGTGTCATCTGTCTGTACCTGCACTCTCTATGTATGCATGGCTTTGTCTTGTACCTCATCTGAAGGGCTGGATTTTTGTATGTAGTTTTCTTTGTTTTCCATCCTGCTCTTTCTTCCTCAATGGCAGTTTGCCCATGTACGTGGTTCATGTACCACTTTTGGTCTATCCTAATGGGTTATAGTCCTTCCCATCCTGTGGTTCCCCACATACCACTTTTTTGATTTGGCTTTTTGAATGGGGCCTTTCGGTTGCCTCTGTTGTGAGCTGTAGGGTGAAATTATCTTCCACTGACTTTGCTTGTGTTTTCCAGTTGCCAGTCTTACCCATTTTGTTTTACTCCTTCTGTTTTTCCTGTCCTCCCTGCTCAGTTTCCCTTCCAGATTACCACCTCTATGTGGTCTTCCATGTTTTTCCCTGTCCTCCATTGGACTTTTTGAATTCGTGTTCTTTAAATCACCATTCCTTGAAGTTCCTGATCATTCCTTTATGCCCAAGATTTCAGCTCCTTGTGAGGTACTTCCCCTTCACACCTTCTTCCCTTCCCTCTTTTTCCCACCTTTATGACTGTTCCAAACCCGCCCACCTCCTTTGCTCAATCAGGGTTATTTGATAGTATATGACACATTGTGCTGCTCTCTTCCATACCATTTTTCCTATTACCCTTCTAGATTGAATTCACCAGTTAAGTCACCTGGTGTTTCTCTTCCCTTTCTTCTGATGATTATCACATTTTTCATGTGTTTTTTTTTTCCATCAGATTCATCACTTTACCATGTCACTGGCTGTATGTTTCCATTGAGGGACATGATCAGTGCTATAACTGTTCATCTGTGGGTGGTAAGTACTCCATTGATTTTCTTTTTCTTTGCAGGGGCCTTTATCATATGTTTGGATCCTGCTCTGTGGTGAGTGTTGCCTAACCAGGTTTACTTAGTCTTAAATCTGCACTGTATAACCTGTGATCACATACAATGCTAGATGACTGTGACATGGAGGCTCTTCATACTGTGGACCTGATGTAGAATTCATTCCAGATACTGTCAGATGTTGATTGATCGACTCTGTGGACGTGATCACTCTGCTTTTCAAGATAGAGTATCACTGTCACCCATTGCACTGTCTCCAAAGTTGCGGTCCTCTGGACTTACTAATGCAATTTTTTCCCTCCTCTCCTCCTAGTAATATGTGTGTGTGTGTGGGGGGGGGGGTATTGCTACTTACTAGTTCCTGGCCACTGGGATGGTAGACCATGAAGGCACAATACTGCTCAGTTGAGAGTAGCTTGGTGGCATTCTGCTGATGTAGATGACATGAAGCCCTTCCTACCATGGACCTGATGTATAATTCCAGATGCCACTAGGTGTTGGATCTAGCATTCTGCCATGTAGTGCAGTTTGCCTCTCCAGCTGTTCCACCCTCTTTTCTACTATCCGCCAGATGTTGGTTCCGAGGGAGTGGGTGTTCGTTGAAGCTGGACCAGCCACATAAGTCCTCACGTGTTTGGCTGGTACCCTCCTCCTGCCATGGATTGGATGATAAATTCCCAATGCTGCCAGGTTTTGGACTGCAACCCCAACTAGCAGTTCCTCTTTCTACCATCCACCGGATGTCAGTTCCTGGTGGATCTGGTGTTGGTTGTAGTTGTACAAGACACAAGAATTCCCACATGTGTAAGGTTGGGTACCCTCCTACTACCATGGACTGGACAAAACATTCCCAGTGCCTCCAGGTTTTGGACCAGGACCCATTTTTGAGGTGAAAGGTAGAGGATCTTCTTCCTACCACAGACCTGATATACAATTTCAGATGCCACTAGGTGTTGGTTGAGGTCAATTTCCCATTTATGGTCTCTCTTGCCCTAGCCATTCTACACCGGTGGGTCCAATTATTTCTGTAATTTCTCTTGTGGTCCCTCCATATTTCTGGCCCTTTGCCAACACATTACTGAAGGGCAAAGAATATACCTGGCTCGGAAGTGGTGCAGTCTCCCACGGGTGTGTTGTTTTTAATTACTTATCACACTTCATCATTTTCCTATGAGTACAACCTAAAGGGGAATCATATTCTTACCAGCCCTCCACTGGTTCAATATGGGATTCTAGTTTTTTTTGAGAGGAAGTAAGATATTGTATTGGAAGTAAACTGAAAATGTATTTCTGATAGATACCTACCTGTTCTCACATTTCCCACCCATTCTCCCCACTTCTGATGTGGTTTGGTGTGATATAAACAATCTTGAAGTAGTTAACAGCTGCAAGATTACAGAGGATGCTAGTTACAATAGGAGTAGTGTCACACTCTTGTCAGTGGAGGGTTGCTGCATAATCATTTCCATGTTAGTAGGCAGAAATAAGTGGAAGTATCAAGGCTAGTGGCAAACAAAAATTTGCACAGTAGTGGACAGTATAAGTCATGAAAGCTTTTGTGAGGGGGAGATAAGTGTTGCAAATACATTATCAGTTTAGGAAAATGTGATTGGTGATTCTGCCTGGTTGCCTTCTCTCTTTTCAGTTGTTTAAAACTAGGAACAGCCATATGTTATGTTATATACCTTACATAGGATTTCTGTTAATAGTTGTAAGTTTTTACAGCCTAACTACTAATATACAAGAAAGATAAGGATATAGGGTTAAATTTTAAACACACTCATAGTTTTATTCCACTTTGATCTGAACTGAGAATCGATATTTTTAACAGATAGTGCCAACTTGGTTACTGTTCAGCATAGACCATCCTAAAGTATCAAAAACGTCAATTCTGACAAGTTGGTCATGCATAGGAACAATCAAACAATTTGGTTAAGTAACTGCATGGGCATTTAAAATATGCAAGATATTTTTATCCTAAGGAGGATACTTAATGACCCAGCATAAGTAATTTATTGTATACTGCATATTTTTTTTCTTTGGCAGTAAGGCACACTGTTAGATTATCTGCCATAGGATGCTGCAAGTAAATAATATAGATCAGTGATTTACCAACTTTCATCCTGTAACTCTTTCAGAACATGCATTATTTTGTACACATGTCAGGAAGTTTGTGCTTACTTGCTCCAAAAGTGTGTGTGATATACAATTATAGTTAATAGTTAAATCCTAATCATGCTTTTCTAAGGCACATAGGGTTGGTGCTTTAAGTCTCTCGTTTCAAGTAGCACAAGCAAATGAGAATGGTGACCCATTCCCCAGTGGACAGGATGCTAGTCTATCACAGTCTAACCCCACAGCTAATAGTTTGTACCTATTGTATAGCTGGTAGACTGGAACAAATAAGGTAAAGTATCTTGCTGAAGGACACAAAAGCATACAACGGGCCAATCTCAGATTTGCAACCATCCTAGTACAAGTCCAAAGCATATAGCTAGTGAGTCACACTGCCCTACAGGAAAAAATTGAAATAACAGGGTATAAGCCTATTGTACTATGTTCTGTGTCATTCCTCAGCAGATTTAGTTATATTTTACAGAGTTATTTACATTGTTAGAGTCAATTTGCGATCTATAATATAACCTATAAATTATTCATGCTATCCATTAAGCATGAGTGCCACTGCATTACTTCACCATGTTATTTTGATACGTTGAATTTTGACCTTTGAGGCCTATTGTTCCTTTAGTCGGGTTCAGTGAATGCAGATGGTGCAGTTGAAAATTATAATTTGGTGAGAAGGACATCTATGATAAAAAAAGACACAAGCAGTTGTATAGCTGCAGGACCTAAAGAGACACATTCACTACTGAGGTGTGATTAAGTCAGGGATTTGGAAAGTTGGAGAACCATTAAGATATACTAGCTTAGTGACAGGTTTATGTGATGATTAAGGAAAAACAAACACCAAAAGCCAAAAGTGTAACATGTATGCATATATAGGTTGTCATTCTATCTAAAATAAATAAACACCAAAATTCACTATTTTATGCCTTAAAGGTAAAATATAAAAAATTGCATTGTGCCTTTAACACTTGGAGCAATTCTAATAGTAATCTAAAGGCCTATTTTCATACCTAATGTCACTGGACTTTTAGCTTTTGGAATACACTAAGTTTACAGCATACAACCCACATCCAGCTATGTATGCCAACCTTAAAGACTGTATCAGGGAAATAAAACAGTTCCAGAATATCTACTTGTAATGTGTTTGACATATAGCAAAGGTACCCACTGTATAAACTGAAGTCAAGAAAGTTGTAGTGGAGATGTAGCTCAACATTAGTTTACACTATACTTTCACCCAGATGTTTATTGATAATGTACTTTATTCTGTCTTTCTTTCTTTAATTGCCAGTTACTATGTCTTAAAATGTGTACATTCATTTGTAGACACCCTGTATATAGTGTATAGTTTGCAACTTTTTAATGTAATGAAATCATTAGTATAATTTTAGCTTTTACTCTCGGTGTTAATAAGATGTTAATATTTACTGAGTTCAAGATTAGTATATTGATAGTAATCAATTTTCTTTGTTTTTTTTAGAGAGAGTGAAAAGTACCTTTATGAAAAAAAAAATTATATTGAAATATTGATTCTGATATTTCAGATTATGTAATGAATCAGGCTGCCAAAGTCCTTCGTTTATTGTATATTCATGACCTGAGAGATCTTCAGACCCAAATCAATGAAGCCATTGTAGCAGTTCAGACAATTACAGCAAACCCTAAAACTGACACCAAACTTGGCCGTGTGGGGAGATAAAGTTAGAGACTGAAAACCAAAATACCAGTGTTATTGCTTATGCATTAATTTCCCAATAAAGATTAGAAGAAAAAAATTATTTCTATTGTTTTATTCAAAGTAATCTCAGTGTTGAGTAGTAAAGTTTGTTTTTGGTAATATAAATATATATATATATATATAAACTTGTTTGTTGGGTAAAAGTTTACCACCTTTAAAGCTGAAATTTCATTTTGTAGACTTCTAAACTTACAATTTACATAATGTAAAACTGCACAAATCTCAGATTAAAATACACATTTGCATTATTTTTTGGATATGAATTTGATTCTAATCATAGAAACAATATAGGTAAAGGTGTGGTAAGTAAATTTGGCAAAACCTTGTGTTAAGAGACTTTTAAAATAACTATATTGAAAAAAAAAAGATATTGTCATTTTCAACTTCTTTAGAAGATGTTTGGCCATACCAGAATCTAATACCTTATGTCATGAGTTTCTCTACCTAGAGTTACCCAAAATACTCTACGTCCTTATCTGATTGTATGCAGCCCACTTTTGGAATATGGTTGTTTTGTAGCCATAAACTTAAACTACAAATGTAATCTGTGTACAAATAATGGCTAATCATTCATTTAACCCCAGTAACTTTTAGTAAAATTAGTCCCTCTCACTTCTCAAGAAGAACTAACAGGTCAAACTGATGTTTTCTTTCTTTGTTATCTTTGAAAATAGCTCTCTGTACCTTGTGAGAATTCCATCAAATGTGATGTTACAAACATTACATCAAAGCATACAAGAAAAGATGCATCTTCTTGTTCTGTGGTTGATATATTAGAACATTTTATCCTTTGTTTTCACTCATGGGTTCTTAGAATTAGTATGTCTCCAAATTATCTTAATTGGATCTTAAGCATTAATGTGTGGAAAGTAAATCTCGTCACCACACCTAGAATTTCAGAAGTACCCTTTTTGTGCTTGTTTGTTATTAGCTTAGGATTTTCACCTATTTGATGTTCTGCATGGAGAAGATTTTTAGCTACAAAACGTCTAAATCTTATACTTGCCAACCTCGATGAATCTTTCATTTCCCCTCCTTTTTACCCTAATGTGAATAACATTAATCTTTAAATACTGATAGTACCGTTTCATTACCATCAATTCATTCAATATGCTTTCTTCTTAATCAACTTTAAAAATTCTTTCTTAAAACTGTTTAATCTCCTCCCTAATAAGCAAGCTCTACAAACCAACTACAGGATCTTTGTTTCCCACATTTCATTTGTTTCATTCATTGTTTCGCAAACCTAACATATATTACCCAAACAAGTGAATAACACACACTTTGTATCCATTTCTAGTCTTATTGAGTTATGAAAAAACAGTAATTAAGTAAGCCTATTACAAAAAAAAATTAATAATCCCCAAACAAATTCCCTACGTCTAGTATGTCAATAAAATTTAATATTGGTGACACAAAAATGTCTTTTAAACATTATAAGTTATAAATATACTCTGTAGATAAATTAGTGAGAAATAAATTTGTTATTAGTATAAGAAAAAAAAAAAGAAAGGAAGAAAATAATAAAACTATTAACTAACCCAAGACAATTGTGTTTAGCTTTTCTTCTCATAAGCTAGCTAACTTTGTCAAGAAGAAAAGGTAAAATTAAGTATACCAACTACAATTGAAAACGGTCTAAATTAAAATATAAAACAATTTTTGATTGTTCCAGAACTACACAAAATGCCACCTTCCTAAAATCAAATTGTGTACTGTTAAATAGATGGGAAATGACTGGTCTGTATGACTTTTTTCCACGTGGTCACCTATATTCTCTCATAATTTATCAGGTTTGTTTAGAGAATTGGGACATAAGTAGATTATGCCTACATTTTTTTCTAGTTAAACGTCAGATTGAAAGGCTGATAACACACACCTAAAAGCATGTGTTCTGCAGACTGACAAGAAAGGCGCAGCAAAACTTCCCTGATAAAACTACGTTATATTTGTGCCTAATAATAATAATAATATTTATTATTAAGTTCCGAGAAACCAGTTTTTAGTACGTGTATTTGCTAAATTCAAAACATTCATAATGTACAATGGATATTCTCTAACGATTGTTAAATCTGATATTTTAAGAACAAAAATACCCTAAAATGTTAGCGTTAAAATCATCTGAAACCTTTATCATTGTGTACATAAAGATTTAACAGTTACATTATCTATTTGTTACTTGAGTATTTTATCATACTGCCTTAATAGCGGGTTAGAGAAGAAGAAAAAAAGAAACAAGAAGATATTACAGCAGTGACAAGAAAACCTGCAACAGTGTCAGCTCGAACAGCAAAATAAACAAGAAGAGAGATTACAGCAGTTGTTGGAGGAAAAATAAAGGAAACAAGAAGAGAGACTACAGCATTGGTTGGAGGAGAAAGAAATGAAACAAGATGATAGGCTACAGCAGTGGTTGGAGGAGAAAGAAAATAAACAAGAAGAGAGATTACAGCAGTGGCAACTAGAAAAAGAAAGGAAACGGGAAGAAAGTCTCCAACAGTTGCAGGAAAGTCAGCAGCAACTACAGGAAAGACAACAACAGTGGCAAAAAGTACAAATGGAAAACATCAGTAAATTTAAAAGCGAATTAAATACATTAAAGGATGATTTATTGTCTTTTACATAAGGAGGAAACATTAACCATCGACTTAATCAGCCCCAGACAATGGCAAGCCCTTTCCAGACCTCACAGCTAAACTCTAATGCAGACATCTTCAGTCCTGTTAGAAGTCGCATCCTAGATATGAATGTCAGCAATAGGGGTGATCTAGTAGTAGTACCTATAACAGTGGTCAGTTTCTCTAAATGTGAGCAGACACTTAAGGAAGGGGCATTGTTGGGTGTGTGTCAGGAGGTAGAGCCAGTCAATGTTAAAGCAAGAAATACAACTATAAAGAAAGGACATACACTTCCAGAACATTTAACTGACCTCTATAAGAAGAGCATAGTCCATTTGGCATCATCACAGGCTCTTCAGGTAAAAGAACTTTTGGCAAATTATGCAGACGTCTTTTCGAAAGGAGATCATGAGCTCGGCTGCACAAACCTTGTAGAGCACAGAATAAACACAGGCAATCAACATCGAATAAAGATCCCTCCGACTAGAATAGTTCCAACAAAGCAACACGAGATATAGAG